TTTACGAAAGAGGGGTTAAGCTTCGCCCGTATGCCTTATGCAGAAACCGTACCTTACGCTAACAGCATCGAAGAACATCGATATGCAGTTGTCACGTACCGCGTTCGAACTGTTTACGTTGTACACTGAAAAGACAATCACGCCCATCTGTTCGCGTGGTACCAGGTCGGCACTGGATGCTACCTCGAATGGTTGGCAGAATCCTGTATTAATCGGCATTATGACCATTACAGCAGCTCATGTGGCATGAAATCAGATTTGGCCACTCGGTCGTTTCTAACTCTTGGACGTGCACAGGACGGAGCGACCAGTCGATTTCGTAGTCTGTGTTCGAAATGGTTGCGATATTCTTCATTCAGTTTTCGGCATAGAGATAAGACGGCCGATCGTAGCGTTCTAGCTATCAGAAAGAAACTGTTGACATATCAGATACTGGATACCACATGCTGATGATAAAGGACTCTGATTATATTAGTTTTAATTCATAATATTATGAACAAACGACAAGTGACGCTGTTGAACCTTGGCGCTGCCTTCGGCATTTGTAACCAAAAGGCTAAAGGGGTGAAATTATATTTGTATATTCAAAACCATCCACTGACATTACAGTTAATCGATATTTTAAAACGCAGTCATTATTATGGAATAATTATATTAATGCCTAATATGTTTCAGGAGTGAAATAGTCTTCGAAAACATTATAGTTTTCGGTCATCTGTATAGTATAGAAAACGTTGCACAAAATTCATGACTCTTTATCCACGGACGGCTCATTTTCCTTTTGATTCCAGCTTTTGCCTATAACATTCCGCCTGAGACACCTATATACGGACCATGTTGCTACGTGTGCATGGCGGATTAGTGTTGTTCATTAGTTGGCTGATTGATTCATTCTGGATTTAGAACTTTAATCTCAGATGAGCAAACATGCATGGCTTGTGATTTTCATCATCACGTTCTAAAAATTGTTCATTTTATTCTCTACATTGATAGATACGCATTTTCAGATGAACAAAGGATGAAGATGAGGCGAGTACCAGAAGGAACATCTGAATTTCAAGCTACATGGATTGTTGAAGAGACTGTGAACTCTGATGATGAACTCAACGACGACGTGGTAGTTTGTTTTTTGTGCTTAGCGGCGTGGTACATTTCTGAAATGTAATTACACTAGAACACTTTTCTGGTGATTTGAAAATGATGCTTCGTTTAGTTTATGATTTGAGTTATTTTTATCAGCGAAAAGAGAGTTGGGACACCTGTCAATGATTAGTTTTCATAAGGAGGTAATCTCTAGTTTATCTCAAAACTAATTATCCCGGATTTTCACAATGCGAAAACTGTAAGGCAAAATAGCTTACTTTACAGCTATATTATGGTAGTGTTAGTTGGATCGGAGTCGTTACATCTGGTTGTCCCGCAGTAATGCACCACCCCATTGCTTCTGGTTGCCTACGTTGATCATTTAAGCAGGTCACGGCTTCATTGTGTTTGAACGCATGTAGTACCTAAGAAGCATAGACCGTGTCACTATGCTAAGTTTAACATGTACGTAATTGATCACCGACAAAATTGCCGTTATCCATTGGCAAATATAGAAAACAAAATAAAATATATCCTCGATAATCCAGGGTAGCTAACAGGAATTGCAAGCTTTCCGATTCTTCCACTGGCAGAGAATATTTCACACCTGCTGATTCGGGATTTGCGCGGCTGATGTTAAGTTACTCTCTTTACAGCGGCGCTGTGGTAGTGCAGGCTAAGTTGGATATGCGTCATTGCATCGGTGCAATGTTGTGGTAATCCAGTTTAATGCCTCCCATCCGTCGTAAACTGCAGCAGACTCAGTTTGAAGTAAGTTGTTCTTTTACTTCCTCCTGAGTTCTACTTTCTCTATCTCGATGTGGTAGGAGGGTGACAACGGGTCTCAAGATGAACTCAGCGAAGATATATGCATTTGCAGCGTCGAACTGCGTTTCACCAATTTTCGGTAAAGGAAATTTTTGAGCGGGCACTCGCGGACGATGGCCACCTGGCCGCAGCGATTGTACGTTTCATAGTTTAATATTTACCCGGCCTCTTTACCTTTTTTGACGACTCTTTTAAAGAACTGTTACTGAAACTCCTGCTAAAGAACTGCTAGATATGTCTACAGAATTGCGCTTACCAGTAAATTTTTAACTTTTCAATTTTAGACGGCTTGCAAACAATACGTTGAAGACGCGATGGATTTCAGACAAACCGCGGATGATGCCTCATCTAACTCCAACGGGGAAATATCCAACAGTGATCGTTCTTCAACAGACAGTAGCAATGATGTAAGAATTTTTCACTGAACCACAGTTTTCCACAGTTTCATCTTATTTTAATTTACCTGTGCGCGGAC